AAATGAGAACAGTTAGAGAAAATACAATTTTGCCATTGTAATTACCTCTTACAAACAGCCTTTCCTCTTTCCTGTTTTATGTGCAATGTGTACAGCAACAACAATAAAAATAAACAAAGACATGATTAACCAATCAACTTGTTTCTCCAAAGAGAGAAATAGTTAAGGGCTAAAGTGCCTTTCAATAATTAATTATAAGAGTCTTTAAACTTAGTATTCAGAGGTTACAGATTTCCATACCACAAATACATTAGGTTGATTCACAGAGTGGCCATCAAATACCCAGAAAGCAAATTACTTTTGACCAAAATGTATACATCAACAGTACAGTTAGGAATGTTTTCATAGAGGAGGACAGAACATACAGAACCAGTTCTCTATGGAGCCTAGCATAGTCTCCCGTGGACCAATCCACATAAGACCATCTACAGAGCACATTCTTCATATCACAGACTCTAGGTAAGAAGAAAGTATTCTCTAGGTAAGAGGAAGAAAAAGGTGAAGATTTCTCTCTTTAACACTTCCACTATGAAAGGAATGAGCTGACTACAGAACCATTTTCTTGAATATTTTTGTCTTGAGTGGGGATTTTATTCTTCCCTCACCACCCTAGGTAGAGCAGAATCACCAAAGTTATCTCATTATGGTAATGCCATAAATCCCATCTTATGGCAGTTGTGCACGATCCTGTGTTATGCGTCCAGTAAAGTTTATTCAGAAAATATGTCAGCTTCATTAAACAGGGATCTGATGATCTGAACAAACCACTTATCTTGCTTTTGTGTCATATATTGGTATCCTTAGGTCTAAAATGAAAATCTTGGTTGGTGGGGCTATTTGCCAAGGATTCCCTGCCTTATGTAAGCAGAAACATCTAACCACAATTTTGAGCTTAACTGTGGGGAAGGAGGTGGAAGGTATATTGTACTAGTTTTTTCTAAGAAATGTTTTATAGCTTGAGGATATGTGAGGTCACAAATGTAACAACAATTGAACTAGTACCAACAGCCAAAGAGGCCAAGGATAAGGAAACCTGAAGCAAGAGAAAAAGGTGTATGTGTACATATACCAAGAAGCAAATGCTATCATTAATAATAATTATTGTTATTACAGCTATTAGAATGATGGGGCATTGATGGTTCACTTGGGTGAAATATATAATACATAAGCTAGAAAGAACCGTGGATAAACTTATGGCTCTTTTTAAAAGGCAGTTTATATTCTAGGTTTATGTGATATGAGACACATAATTTAATACCACACGTAAGAACAGGATGCTGAAAGAAGTGGAGAAGAGTTGCAGCTTTAAAATAGTATAGTGACTAGTTCCTACTGGTCTTTTCTTGTTACACCTGCCTTAGCCAAGCCACCGATATAGTTCTAACCTTTTCTGATATTTTAATAATGATGACAGGCTCAGAGTAAAGGAGACAAAATAATCAGAAGATTCAGAGGGGAAAAAGAAATGGAAAGAAAAAAAAAAGAGTTTGTATTGTTTATACCATCTAATCTGACAAATTTTATATTTTTTTTTTTTTTGCTTGGGATAGTTTATTGCTGATGTTATGACTTTCTCTTTTTTTTTTTTCCATATGCTTTGCTCTACCAGTTTTGGCTGAAAATATTTTGTATATGTCCATACTGTAAACCCTCATATTTTTCTAGAGATTTAATGTGGTGGAGAAACTTTTTTTTCTTCCCCAAGGGTTAGGCACATCAATATTCAAGCTACTCACTTTCGAGGCCAATGGAAAATGTGCTCCTAAGATTAAATAGACCTGAGTAACACATAAATTCAGTTTATACTGATGCAGTATGTTGCATAGTTATAGCCTGAATTTCTGATGAGTGTAATACACCTGTTGGACAACACATCACTACTGAATAGTCACTGACCTACAATTCGAAGACAGCAAAACAGCCCAAGTCTCCAGATACAGGTTCTCTACAGACAGCCTGATTCATACACAGCATTCCTGATCTGTGGAACTCTGTATGTAAAGGATCTAGGCTAGCTATGGAAAGCTGGCTCATAGAGGGTTCTCTAAAATATTTTTAGAATAAACTAGAGCAATAATACAAGCACAGAGAGTACTCTTTGTTATACAATGCATAATTTCTTTCCCCCCAAACATGGTGTTTAAAAATACGATTCAGATTTTTATTACACAATTTCCCCTTTTACATATTTCTAAATGCCTCACATACCCATCACATGTTTTCCATGTCTGTCAATAACCGTAATTAAAAATTATAAACTTTTAAAGCCAGTGTTACATTTAAGTAGATTTGCCATATTTATCTGGTATTGGTTGACTGCAGCCAGACTGGAGTTCTAAGTAATCAGGCGACTATGCTTTCCTTTCACCTCAGGTAAAGAATTGTATTCAACACATGCTTAAACCCAATAATAAGTATAATTAAAAAAATATAGATCTGGCATGCAAATTATCATCCTAAATTTGAGTCAAGTAAAAAAAGGACCAAAAGAAAATAGTTCCCCCAAGAAACCTAGCCAAATCTGTGAAATATTTCTCTAGGCAACCAAATTGCCCTCTGGCTTAAAGATGTGTCTAAGAATATTAGGGAACTCACTGATGAGATTTTACAATCAATTGTTACATGTTAGAAAATACGATGTCAGGATACTATGAAGAAAAACACTACTATATACAATAATAAGAACTATTTATCTGAATTGTTTTAACATTAACATGTAAAAAACATCCTGATGGATCTGAAATAATGATGTACTAAATGCTACGAGGTCTGGGGTTTGCTTCAAAATAACATTGCGATATAGTGAGAAAATAACAGGCCATCATTGTGCAAGCTGGTGATGAGTACATGGGAGTCCATTATAGTAATTTGTCTATATTCATGAATTTAAGATTTTTATGATAAAAAATTTAAAAACATATACTGATTTGAACTTTTATTTGTTTATTATTTGTTGACTGATTCATTTACTGTTTATGCAAGGTATTAAGGAGATATAAAAAATAGATAATAATAATAATGATGCTCTTGTTGGGCATTTAGGTTAAAAGAGCTATTCCTCTGCAGGAATATTATATATTTATTTTAAATGTTTACAAAGCCTATGTAATTACATATTTCTTAGGTTAAATTTTGAAAGCAGGACACAAAATTATATAGAAAGTATGATAACATCATGTTTTAAAAATATATCCTCAGGGGAAAATGAGAGTAAGGAAATATATCAAATGGTTATTAATGATTGGATTTAAATTATAGAAATAATTACTTTAATTTTTCTTCATTTTACTCCTATGTGTTTTTCTAAATTATTTTTAATGAGCATGTATCATTTTAAAATGAAAATAAATATTTATTCATTAGTGGAAAAGATGTGTTGTCCTTTCCCAAGGAGCTTTTCATTTACTGAAACAGAGAAACTGCAAACACACAGCATTGCCCTGATAGCTTAAATCTTCATACCTAGAAGGGAAATACACCCACAGGAAAAGAAACATCAATACAGATTTTATCTGATCATAGAAACATAAAGAGCTTTCTCTGTGTTGGATAGAAATAGGGAAGAAACTAGCTTGTTTGCAAGCCAGCAAAAGTGTGAAATTCAGGCCTTTTTGTGATGAAATCATTTTGTGATAAATGCAAAAGGAGCGACAAATTAAAGTTACCAAATAAGACTTTCCCTTGAGCTCCTGAGGCTTACAATAATATGAGTTTCTTTTGGGGTAGCATAGCAAGTAAAGCATGGGAGTGGGGAGGGAGGCGGAGCTACAATCCTGAAGGCTCCTGGCCTTCACTTGTGAGATGGATACGCTCTGAGAGACAGAGATAGATGTGCAACAGAATCAGAAAGAACAACACAGTGACAACTATGGATTATGCACAATGGATATGGAAAGTCTCTTTAGAAAACTATCTTTATTACCGCAAGAGATTATTTCCCTCATTTTATGCACATTCATATAAAGCGAAGTCAAGAGTGTAATTTTTAAAGATTTGGATGAATACGATGTTCATGACCAAATAGGCCTAGAAGGAGCCAGGCAGAACACAGTTAGATGTCAGGTAAGTCACCCTTTTCCTCCTCCTCCCTCTCCAGTATATTTGCCAGTGTATTTCAGTGCAGGTCAGCCTCTAGTAAAGTCAGTTGTTTCAAGCTCTGATTGGATAATACTTTATCCATACACCCCCAGTCTTGACCTGCACTCTTCTCCCAGTCATGGAAATATCAAGAATTCTAGAAGGCCACAATACCAATCTTTTCGAAACTTTACAAACTTTACAAATTTTCACTAAAAGACATCTAGAAAAATCTTCAAGCCTATGCTCACCTGTAGCCCTGGTCTTGGTCCTCTTACTTAACTGGTAAAAGAGAATAGTCATATTCATGTCTCTAAAGGGTATTTTCCCTTTAGGCTTGTTGGTAAGTACAAGAGCAATCATGCCTGATTTTAAGATTGATCCAAATGAAGCCAATGCTTCAAATTTACAGAATACCACAGAATACTAATGGGTAGTTCAAAGAATCACCAAATGTGTTTGGAAGGTTTTGAGGTTTTTTTCAAAACATACAGCGTTCCACACAGGAAACATCAGTGCCCAACTTCACCCTATCACCCTTTCTGTCCACTCAGGAGTCTCCTTTGGAAATGTATCTCTCTGGAGGGTCTTCCAAACAAGTCCTTTGAGTACTTCCATCTTGTTTAGCAGAGTCATTCTAAAATATTTGCCAAAATCTGTGATAATAGGTTTGGGAGGTCACGTTTCTTATTCTTCTAAATGCTGGTATTTCAAATGAACAAATAAACAAATAGGATATTAAAGATCTATCCTTTACCAATGTCAAAATATGTTCTGTCAAAATTTAGTATTGCTCAAGTTTAGACCCAAAGACTCACCACAGCCTTTGGATCTCATATTTTCTGAGGTTCATGGAAATATATTTGACTTCTTTGCACCTCAATATTTTGGACTGCCATTTAGAGATAATGAAAGTTACTTACCAGACAGCAATGTCATGAGGAATATCCTGTTAGTAATGATGAAACATTCTGAAATAAAAAGAGTACGGGTAAGTGCTAGGTATTTATTTTAATAAATGTATGACAACATGGTAATCATAGAAAATAACCCATTTATTCCTCACTTTGGGATACTGACTTAGTGGTAGTATACAAAAAGTAAAGGATGTTTCCCTTTGGGAATGGAAATAGAATTGTGCACTAAGAAAGTAGCTTTCGTAACTGCCTGCACGTTTTACTTTAAGGTCTCTAACCAGTTGCAACCAGTTATGAATGACTTGTTGCCCATTTCTGCAATTCACTGTAACTTTGTACTGAGAAGGTTATGTTTTATGGTTAATTATCCATGGTCTGTTTAAAAAAATAAATCAAACCATTGTAAACCACTAGGATTTGCAGCTCCATTTGAACTTTACTGTAATTTTGATCAAACATTTTGTCAACAAAAACAAACTGGTTTCTCTTTGTTTTTAGTTGTTCGTTATTTGTGTTATAAATATTGTGGCAATGGTGGGAGAATAAGCTATGGATTATTTACCCTCGGTTTCATGAGTTGTGAGTTATTGGCCTTATCCTCCTTTATGAGTATAAATAAATGTATAGTATTATATTCCAAGTCCTGTAAGACAAATGGAACGAGTGAACTGAAACCTTTAGATCCAAAATCTTTTATGCGAAGTCATAGAACAACAAAACAAAACCCAAATTAACATTTAAAAAGCTTCTACTGTGGAGCAACAAAGTCTTTAAATATTATATAATCTGCATTTAAAAAATTGCTCGTCTAACAGGCAGCAGTCTATCAATCATTCTACAAGCTTTTCAATGCCTTTAACATTTAGAAGCTACATGTGGTTTTCCCACAGATCACCCAGCACCCCCAATACCACTACCACAATGAAAGCCTTGAAAATGGCCAGCATGATTACTTTAAGCCAAAATAGATTTAGAAAAATCAGGAATTTTTTTTGCTAAAAGTAATGTAACACTATATAAAAGAAGAACCCTATAGAATTTTTTTGATAGTTACCATCCTCAGACCTACATAAACAAAAGAAGTCCAAAAACAATTGTCCAGAGAAAATAAGAAAAGCCAAGATTCAAAGGACCCTGTGGCAGAGTGCATGAGGAGCATATTCGATAGCTAGAATCATAAGCACCTAACACATTTGCATATGAAACTTAATGAGGATCACCAAAGTAGCTTGCCAAAAAAAATGTCTGTTAAATGAGCCAACAGTCTATGCAGCACCAACCCCTAAAAAGAACCTCTAGGAAAGACGTAAAATTGTCTTCTGAAATTTGCTTCTTTTATAAAGGCAGAAAGGATAACAAGGGTTTCCTCATAAAATGAAGTGATTGGTCCACTACTAGAACCTGAAGAGTTCTGTATCAGATTTCTTCTTACCCTTTATTACTTGCATGGCTTACTGCTTACCTGCATCAGCACTCTGAAGGGATGGCCATAGCAGGTCCCTTACCAGTTCACTGAAACATGGAAAATATTTATGATGGTACTACTATGTGCTAGACACAACTGGACTGATTCTGCTTGAAAAGGTAAGTCAGTAACTGAGGTTCTTGTTGCCGCATTAAAAGAAAAAATCTATCCCTACTGCCAACAGCAATAAGAAAAGCTAGGATGAAAGAGTTGTTAAAGACTTATGAAAACTTTGAAACTGTTTAAAATTCTCCCTAGCTTCTTTTCTTGCATGTCCACAGAACAGAAAACTTAGGCCTGCCACCTGTCCTAAGCCTGGATCCCATATTAAAAAAATAAAAAAAATAGAAAAATGAGAAACGGCTAATGTGTTCCCAAGGCCTTGGTTACAACAGAAAATGAGAGCCGAGAAGTCTACATTGCCACATATCGAGCTTTGAAAGGTCAGTCCTGCCCTAGCATAGTTCAGAGAGCGTGAAAACCCACCAAGATGAAAATGGAAGCTATTCTGACAACAGGAGGCAGGGAGAAAGTTCAAAGAATTTCCTCTGCTTCTTTTATAACGAGATACCTTCAACTTTTTTTTACAAACAATAAAATGCAAATCTCCCTCACTTTTGTGTTATAAGTTTTTTTTGTTTGTTTTTAATCTAAGCAACCCATTTGAAAATTAGAGTACTCAGAATAACTTCTTGTATACAGAACTACACATTTAAAAAAGCTTTGTGCAGATTGTTAATCATATTAAAATTACATCATAAACAATGCACTTTACATAGGGCAAATGTTTTATGTTTTTTTCTTTTGACAATCAGGCACCTACATGCAAAATTGCATATTGGAATCCAAACTCAACTATAACACATGTAGAGGAACCCTTAGAAAAATGCATGTGGGAATATGATTTCCTAGTCAGAGACGAGAATTTTCTGACCAATTTTCATTATTTCTCTGCAATAAATTTATCTGAGCTATAGATCCTGTTAAGAAAATAAAGCTAAACGGAAATGTATTGATAAAATACATTAAATATATATACTAGCTTAGTCATTATTCATATTAAGATCAGAAAAGATTTCCACAAGTCATCATAAATACAGAGATGGGATAATACCAATAATCTTGATCACCCAGTTATTGAAACAGAGAACCACATATGTGGGCAATAAAACTTTTGATTTTTATCTTGTGCACCGGATTTTTCCATACAAAGGAATTCTAAATTACAATAGTTAACATATAAGACGGTGTTAAAATAATTCATAACTTGAGTAAAATCAAATGAACCAATTTCTTATGGCTTTAATATCCAGAAGTAACGTATGATCTTAAAGAATGATGCTGATCCGAGATACAAGGAGATCAAGCGCTTCAATAGTTCCTCCTCACACGCTAACGATAGCATCCATCCTCTCCCCACCCACCTCCCACCTTTTCTGGTTGTATTAAAAACAATCAAAACTACCTTTCACACACCTGAACTTAATTTCTTCTAAGAGGTGCCTAATAGTGCCTAGGGCTGTACTACCACTTTATATCCATTTTATGACCACTTGATAGGCAGAAACTAAAAAGGAAGACCAAAACAAAACAAAAAATCCCTCCAACCTCCCTTATCAGATGAATGCCTAGTTTCCAGAGGACATCAATCAGTTAAGCAAAACCAAATATTATAACAGGGAAGAAGGACTGATAAATTGCATACGAATCTCACTGTGCTCCCACTTAGGCTGGAAAGGGAGTTATTCCAATGAAAGAAAGGGGGGGGGGGAGTTATTCCAATGAAAGAAAGGGGGGGGGCGTTGTGGAAAGGGGTGAAGGGCTACAGAAAGAGCGAGAGAGAAAGGGAGAGAAAGACATTAAGAAGGCAGTACAGTGAAACCAAGGGTGTTCCAGGGAGAAATGTGACAGGAAGTTCTAAATGAGAATTACAGAAACTATTCCTTCTTAAATAAAACTGTTGTTTAGATGATGAATTCTATAGAAAGTCTCAATTAACTGTCTCTGTTGTAGCATAAAAAAAATAAAAAAATCATTAAGACTTTGGGGTTTGAATGTACTTTGTCCAAAAAAAAGAAAAAAAGAAAAAAAAAAAAAACAAAAAGCATTAGAGCTTTATATAGTTCCCAAAGTAAAAAGCAAGAGAAAGATGGGTTTATATAACTGGCTTTTTTACATAAATATTACATCAGGATACATTTCAAGTGAAAACACACAAACACACACACACCCGTCTTCCTTATACTCTTTCTATTTTAAAATTCATTTCATACTTTAAATGTTGTTGGTTTTTCACAAAATAAGTAAAAACGAAGTCAAAACATCTCAAAATAAGTTGCCTTATATCACCTGGAAAATTAACCCACCATACAGGTCACAATGTCTTGTTTAAAGCCAGTTAAGGTGCTGACAATTATGGGACATTTTGCTGCAGCCTAGGGCAACTAGAAAGGGCCATGGATGTTAACTAACTCCCTTCTAAACAGTCTGAGAAAAGGGAAAAAAAAAACTGTAAGTTTCCCCATCTGTTATTTCCCTTTTTTCTTTTTGGCTGTGGAAAAGTAAAATTATGCAAGAGCTTTTGAATGTAAAGGCTGTGTGTGCTTTTTCCCTTTTTGTCTCTGTGTACCGGTTAAGTGATGTTGCGTAACTGAGTACAGAGTAGGCGGTTAGCGTTTACTATTGATTTACACTATGCCATCTAATGAATTCAGAACACTAAAAAGAAAAGAGCAGGAGAGGGAGGGAGGAAAAAGAGAAAGGGAAAAATAGGGAGAGGAATAAAAAGGAACGAAGGAGAGGAAGAAAGAGCTTATTCAGAGAAACAGTTCTAATGACTGGAATAGGTTCATTTTTATTTCTTTTAGCTCTGACTTTTGGTTATTGTTCAGCTCTCACAAAAAAATGGTCTTGGGCTGGTGACCCCAATATTCCAATCCTATTTCTAATAAGGATTAGTGGCAGGTGAATGTCTGAAAGTTCTAATGTGTCAAATTACTTGAAAACCATTTCACTAAACTGACAAGACTCCTCCATATGCATCTATTTATGATTCTCTCTATGCATTTGTGAATCTGTATCTGTGATCACCATTGCTTTGGTCCTACTGGCTTACCCAATCAAAAATATTATTTGAAATATACCACAGGAATATCATCAGGGCAAAGAGAAATACATTCTATTTTACCCATCTCCTTTAAAAATACATAAAGAACATACTTAGAAATCTTTAAATAGATCACTATTTTACTTTGAAAACAGACATGCCACAAATTGTTTGGCTGAACAAAACAGCCCAGTATAGGACAATAAAAGAGAAATAGGCAAAATGAGGAAGAACACTAAACTGAGGAACAATATTCATAAAGAAATTTAAATAATTTCTTATGTCTATGGAGAGCCTTTAACTTTTGTTTGGGTGGATTACAGGCATTCTCAGTCTTTGAATGCTGCTCAGTGCTTCCCATGCCATATAATGAATTCCCAAAGCTTGGACCAGAAAGAAAGGGTGAAGTTGTTTCTGCTGCTAGGTACAGGTCCTTCCTGTACCTGAGTGCCCCTCTATGGCTGAGAACCACCACTAAGGTGA